ACTTCAACATCCTGTATCTTGGAAACGAAGCGTGTCCGGACATTTATTTATTTGGACAATTCATATTAGAATATTGTGAGGAATCACCTCCTGAAGTTTGTCAAAATACTTTTGAATCACCCTGTATACACACTATCAACAGGCAGATGGGGGAAGTCTAGTTGAAAGTGCGGTACGAAGTGGACTAATAAGTCGATATACATTTGAGTATTAGTCTGAAGTTCAGTTAAAGTATTTCTGTTGCATTGGAAGTGTAGTAGTGAAATGAAGTTGAGTTTAATTGTACAGTATGGTCAATTATTGTCAAACTTACGGGGGATAATGTAACAATATCTGGTGGAAATGTGCTCACAAGTGACGATATTTAGATTCAATAATTAAAGAAAAAATGAATCTTTAGGAAGAAAAACTGTGCCTGTTGATGAAAACTACAGTATTGCGAATAAAAGGACATGCATTTTATTTCAAGAAAGAAATATCGACTCTCGACAAAGTAATGGGTTCCACGAAAGAAGACGAATGTATGTCTCCAATGATGGACAGAAAGAAAGTGTGTAAACATTTCAGCTAGCAAATTATTTGCTAGAGGAGACATTGCCTAATGCAGATAAGAGAGTTTCGACGTGAGAATAGAAATATTAATTAGCTGGACGAAACTTAGCTCTACCGTTGGAAAGATGTGGCAGGACATAAACATTAGAAGTTCACGTTAAGCAATTATAGAAGGCTGGTCTACCGGATTGAAGTCGCCTTCCGGAAAAAGAAAGCAAATGATTATTACCCACAATGGAAGTTTTGATGGTTTTGTTGAGGGCAGTTGATTGATATTTGAGTCAAAGTATTCCGGCGATTATCATGAAAACATGAAAGGCAATGTGTTTGAAGAATATTTTGATCAAATGTTAGATCTGATTCCGCTTAATGGGGAATGTTCCTCCTGACGAAAATCAAGTAGTTTTCATAAAATAGCTCTAAAATAAGGCATTTAAAATGATCATTTCAAACTTTTTCTTTAAAAAATTATTTAAATACTTAAAAAAGAATGATGCATTCAACACTTAAAGGGATTTGTTTCTATTTCACCCTAAGTAACAGGCCAAGTTTTTCAGGCAAATTTTTCATTTATGGAGTTTTATGATATTTTCCTTGATTATCTTAAATAATTTTGATGCCTAGAAACGTTGTTTCCATTTTCAGAGTAAAGTGTAGTTTTTGTTGTGTCTTTCATTTTATATATGTATTTAACATGTCCAATGATTTCTGAATTCAGTTATTGTTTTAACATGGAAAATCTTTCATTAATACTTACAACATAAAAACGACAACAGTTTNTTGAAGATTTGCAAGCCCACAAAACATTCATACAATGAGTCCAAAATAAGAAGTTAAATTTAGAATAAGCTGCCGTTTTAAAACCTTCAGACAAGCATTATATAAAATTAATTATTCATTAATAGAAAAAAATTTACTGTAATGAAATATATACTAATATGTAGTTAGTTAACAGGTTTCACCATGTTTTACCAGTAGTTGTTACTCGTTACTTATTGAATGTATATTTTGTTGAAATCATGAAATGTTTTTTTTCGAATATAATAAAATTGTAGTCCAACGACGTGACGATTAAAATCATTTTAACCATTTGGTTTTCAAATCAAGTTTCAAGAAGAGTGGAAGAGTTTACTTAAAGTAAAGTATTCAAAATGGAATCTCGAGTAACTGGCATAAATGGGAAGGTATTTTTCCTCCTGCGGAAACATATTGACAATCAAATTGTCTACCCGATTACGGAACCCATAATAATGAATCTTCATCTTAAAACATCCATGAAATATCTTACTTGTAAAACAATATCAGGCACACTCGTTTGCTTCCTGAAAGTTCTCGAGTCGGCCACGACCGGTATTTTATTCCTGCTGGACAGGGCAAAACTCTGAACGCGCGGATCTTGATAGATCTTCGAAATCAAAGTGTTATCCTTCCTCTTTTCCAGTACTCTTGGAGGGGTATAAAAGGACTCGTTAAGCAGATCCGACTCGCTTTGTGTTCTCTTCAGCACTCTGGGGTCCGATTTCTTCGTGCGACCACTGCTGGTGATGGGCGCATTCAGTTTCAGAAATCTAGGTTTCTCCCTGGGCTGAGTGGGTTGTTTTTCTTGCTCAATTTTAGACTGCTTGTCCTCTTCTTGGTAATGATTCCCGTTTTCGTCAGATTTCTCTCGAGATTTTTTGTACACTTGGGAGGTTTCGACTTCGTAACAGTTGATGTAGTCGCTGTCGCTCGTCGTATATTCCCCTATTGAGGGTTCCTCCCTCGATTCAATCTGGATTCGAGTTTGCGATGAATCGACTTCGTCTGAATCCAATAAGATTACAGGAACGGCGGTGTGTATGCCTTCGTTTTTGTCTTCTGCAGGTGGCCAGTTCACTCCCAACTTCTGCGGCTGGTCGTTTCTCTTGAGGATATCTCCAATTATTTCTTCGTCGTTACTGGGGAAGCCAGGATACTTGTCTATTAGTTTTCCCTGCCGAAAAAAATATTACATTAGATTTTGACTTTACACTTCAGATTCAGTGCCTACGACTGAAACTAACTCTAAGAAATGACCCTATGATGATATCCCGAAAAATGGTTTTACACTATAAGGTTGGTAGAAATGAAATTTTGAGTGGTTGAAGCAGTTTCCCTAGTTCTTTTCTCGATCAGTCTCTTTATGGATGTTTTCAATGTGTGCTTCTAGGTATACATATTTTCCCATTTCCTGATTTTGGTTTTTAATGATCCGTACCTAGCACATTTATCAGTACTTTTGTTGAATGTGATCTTTTGCCTACTGGAAGATTGCAAACACTGCCTTCTCGAAAACGAATGTGTATTGATCGAGCGTATAGCTGTAATGTAGAAATATACCCGCACAGTATATTCCAAATCCCAGAGTGAATTTGATCGTGATACTTTGCAAGACAAATCCAGACAAAGGAGAAACTATTATATTTTCAAGAAACCAGATTTGTTTACCAGATGATTTAGGATAGATAAGAATAGGATAAATCTTGTGAATCGACAACTATCTAGTATTATGATTCCCAACATCCCACATGATTCATTCAGAAGCCCGAAGCTTATAATTCAACAATGGATAAACTGATGACTCTTCCACCGGAATCTGAGTATTGAGTATTGTTAGTACTGCGTGGCCTAAAGTAACTACACTGTGTTTAAACAAAAATATCCATCCGTTTTTAGGGATGAAAAGATATTCCTAGCCTTATTCTGGCTGTCAGTCATATAGTTCGAGGTGTACTGAGGTGATTTTTGGAATCAAATGTGAGAAATCACTTTGAACACTTCTCGTGAAAGTATCTACAGAAGAGAAACACATCCCCAACCTTTCTTCGATGTTCCAGACTATCAAGGTTGGAAGTGATATTCGCGTCTCCAATCAGGCGGATGGCTCTTTTCTGGATGGGGTATGCTTAGGGGCAAAGCTCGGTACATGGGAACAATACTCCAAAGAAGGTCTGATCTGAGCTTTATAAAGCATCAAAAGTTGCTGAGGTATTTACAGTGTTCTGGTTCGGAACAGCGTTCCAAGCTTTAGAGAAGCAGCCTTTGCAATTCCAGCGACATGATTGTGTTCATACAAACTTATAGAAGCAGGAAGCGGAATTGTCTGTCCTGGCATTATTTTATCCGGCTCGGAGATACTCATCTTTTGGAGAAAACCAATGCCTGCGTTTTTGTGGCATTGAATTGAACCTGGTTAGTTTCACCCCAATTCGAAATCACTTCTAGATCCTCATAAAGATATGAATCCTCCTGTTAGGGATCATTGGGGAACACCAGCGTTGATGGTGAAAATATTCCAGAGATATCCTAATATGGATACAAAGAAGGAGGATTCGGGCGGACCCTACGACTCAGGAGGGAACACCAAAGCAACCACAGCTAGGCCAGTCAAGGGAAAAGCTTTCCTTTCCTATGTTAAAAATGTTACAGATCGGATTGGCAGAAATACGATATGAAACCAATATTTAGGTCAACGAATACCATCAGAGGAAGTCTAAGGTCAGCTAAAGACCCCAGAGAGCCATTAGCAACATCCGGGATAAACCGAATTTCTTGTAGCTGCGGATTGGTCTATATTGGAACCACGACAAGAAGTATAGGTGCCTGTCTCTCTGAACACAAGAGAAATTGTAGACTCGGACAAACCGACAAATCAGGTGTATTCGAACATGCTCTCAATAAAAGGGACTCACACTACCTAATTCGAAGATACAGTAAAACTCTATGAAACTCAAAATCACTATCCAGGAGAATATAGAGATGCAATAGAGATTCAAAAATACAGGGATAATTTCAGTAAAAAAACAAGAGACAATGAACATTAATAAAATCTGGTTACCTGTACTTAATTATACACAAACAAGGTCAGGTAGTCCATTTGAGAGAAACCCAGCTACGCTGGGACAAATTCCATTAATGTAGTTTCTGTGTTGGGAACAACCGTTCGTTCGTAACGACCGTTACCTTAGCGCCTTTGATAATGTCTACCGCAGTAGTAGATGAAACTTTAGGCATAGAAACCTGCAGACCACGGCAAAAAAAACCGGAAAATTGTTTTGACATGGTATCTATGGTTATTTCCATACTGTAAACTTGACTCCAGACGCGATTTAGTTAATAATGATTATTTTTAGGTAATAGTTAACTAATCAAGTTCTGTAATTACTATTGCATTGAGGAATAGTTTAGGTAGGTTTAACTGAAGAAGCTACTGTGTAGCGAAATGAATCTTGACTAAAGTTCATAGTGCAAAAATTGTTTATTGAAAATAAGTCCAAAAATAAATATATTGACTTATTCTAAGCAACTGCTTAGAAGATAAACGAAGCTTTCCAAGGCGGTCAGTTGCCAAAGTTTGACTTTGCTCGTGAATTTTGCATTTGTATATTAATATTTTTTGAAACATAGCCAAACTTTCTTTAAGAGGGATACGAGTAATCGTCGAAACATATATAAGAAATTCAATCAGAATTTTGAACACCCCGTATTTTAAATCCGAAGTCCGCATAAGAGTGATTTGTTTTTCACATCTGTTGAAAAATAATATAATTTATAGCACTTTTCAATAGAATTCCAAACAATCAATTACTGTTATCTAATCGAACTGAATATTGAATCTTATCTGCACATTTTCGTCATTAAGAATTCCATCACAGTTACTGCTTTCGCAAGTTATAATTAGAAATTAGAAAGAATCAAGAGGGGAATTATTTTCCAATTCATTACATTCGTATAAGTTTTTTTCAAGATGACTTTTACTACACAGTAGTTTCATCAGTTGGACTGGTCTTTTATATCACATGTATATATACCTACATGTTTAAATCAATATTGTAACTTCTTCAGTGCTTGTGAAAAAAATTGTTATACAAATTTTATGTACCCCGTTTAAGGGACTGTATCTGACAAGCGATGCTCTAATGAAGTTTCTTTATATGAAAGATCCTATCTTTTTTTCGATGAGGAATCACCTCCTCAAATGTTTTACACTTGTTCAGTATATTCTTTGCTAGTAATTCTGGTTTCATCGAGTATTTGTGTATCTTCGAACGAGATAATCTGAGTGCCTTCTTTAGAGCATGTTCGGCTACAGCTGATATATACGGGGTATATCGGATTCTTTGTAGCTGCGGGTCGGTGTACATTGGAACCTCGAAAAGAAGTATAGGCACCCGGCTCTCTGAACACAAGAGAAATTGTCGACTCGAACAAACCGACAAATCAGCTGCATCCGAACTGCTCTCAACAAAATTACTCTCCAAGAGTATATAGAGAGGTAATAGAAATTCAGAATCACATGAATAATCTCTATAGAATAGAAGAAGCAATAAACATTGGTAAAATCTGGCTACCTGTCCTAAATAGTGGTAGATAATAGAAAACAGGAGACAAATTCCAACACTCTAGTTTTTGCGTTGGGAACGACTCGAGAATTTTGACCGTTACCTTATCACCTTTGATATTTGATATTGTCTACCGTAGTCGTAGACGAAACGTTAGGTATAATGACCTGCAGACCATAGTTATCTACGGCCGTGAAAGTTTACACCCTTTGATTATATTCTCTTTATCCAAGAAAGGGGGGAATACAAAGGCAGTTAAATTAGAAAGAAGTACCCATTTAAGATTTAATTTTTTTTATTATTTGAGAAGATATTAAAAAACAAAAAACATTTACCCATTGATACTTTTCAAACTGAAACCATCAGCAATTTCAACTTTAAGAAACCCTGTATTATAGTAAAATTTCCAACGTTCTTCAAATAAGCTCTGAAATGACAATTATTTTCCTAATTTAATCGACTTAGTATTTAGAATGAGATTGTCAAATTTCGATTCTTTTCGAATATATCTCCGGAACTAATCGGGATTTTCTAAAGTTAAAACGTCAGTTATGTTCCGTCTTTACTTCTATTAGGTTTCGTAGAGGGATCTATTCGGCTCTTGCTTCATGAAGCTCTTTACCGTGGTGTTTTCTGAAATAATTTTCTCTGTGTTCGATTGTTCTTGCCGCCCGCGTATACGATATTCCGTCAAAAGCAGTCAGGAGTACGAGAGAAGAAACGAGTCGCTCGAATGCTCGACAAGCTGTCCAAGTTATGTATAAGGTGGGTATTGCTGTAAAGTTTCTTCAGAGTAACAAAATTTTCCACCGGGATGTGATACCGAAAAACCTTCAATATTCGAAACAAGTCGCTGAAAGTCTCTAAGTAAGCAGAGTTCGGTTCAATTTGAAATATATGCCCTCTCTATTTACCAAAATCATACAAAAAGACAACATTCACGGACGGTATCCGGTCGGTTCGACGTGGGTGCTGGTTCAAGCCACAGGCTGAACGATCGATTTTCATTTGCTATCGTCCAACCCGTGTTAGGAATCACACGTTAAAAGGTTAAACCCCATTAGTCCTTAACTCGTACAAGTTTCGACATCTGAGGGTTGTCGTTGGTATGGGTGCGACAGCTGGTTAACGGAAAAACATATTTTAAACAGAAACAGATTTTAAAGTCACAGGAAAAACAGTCCACGTACTTCCATACTCCAAAATGGTAATCTTTTTCCTAATTTGACCAATTTTGTATCTAAATTATAACGTCAGAAAAAATTAAGAAGCAAAGAAGTGTATTTCCATTGAATATTTGACATCTAAATCGAAATGTAAACTAGTGTGGTGTCGTCAGCAAAGTAATGAAGTGAATTTTTGACGCTGTCCATTCGCATGGATCATTGGTAAAAGTCACAAACAAAAATTATCGTATTTGTAATCTCATGCCAGACAAATTCAAATGCTCCATCTTCACACTATCAGATTCAGTGTCATCAAATTTGTAGTCAAGAATAATGAAGAATTCAAATCTTAAAAACGTATTGATGTATATTCTCAGAATTATCATTGATAAGTGTATCCGTTGTGATAAGACCACTGAAAATCAGTGATGTTGAAATGGAATTGAATATCAGTTCAATTAAACTGAGCCAACATATTCCAGAATACGCCATCCAATGAATACCAAATTCGAGAAAATGCAAAATTATTCACTTTGAATATATGGGGTATTTGATCTTAAATAAATCGTTGCTGTTTTCAGTAGATGTTTTTCCACATCTAGTAATTTGTAATAAGAAACAAGTACCTTATACTAATTTCAAAAGTGAATAAAAATATACAGGGAGGTGTTTACACTATTGCTGTGCTTGGTGAATTTTATTGGTTCGGAATAATATGGGAACTGGTCAGACCGAGGCAGAATAATTTAGATGGAGAATCAGAACAGCCGTATCGAGAACCATTTCCAACATTCAACATCAGCGATGGAGAACGCTGAGCTCTGAATGGCCTACGAAGACAACACCATCAAGATCCTACCTGCAGATAAGAAAAACGCTACTGTTGTAATGGATACCGATCTCTACAAACAGAAGATCGAAGATGTTCTTCAGAAGAGGCAATACACGAATATTGTACGGAACCCTATTGCATCAATTGAAAGGAAGGGTGTTCCACTCAGAGCGATCATTAGTTCCAGAGATCCAGCTACTCAAAACTTGTTCAGATTTTTGAATTACTAGAGGCAACGAAGTCATGGAGCAAATCAATTGGTCAATTTCGACGTAAAAATCCTTTACACCAACGTGTCTATCGAAAAAGCACTTCAAATCATACAGGAAAAGTTATTCGAAGACGAAGGAATGGAGGATAGAACGAACTTACCTAGAGACGTGATCATGGACTTACTAGGATGAACGGAACTGTTAAATCCAACTGAAAGACGAATTCTTTACGAAAAATAAGGGACTGCCAATGGGATCGCCACTTTCAGCAGTTATAGTTAAGAGATATATATGAAGTGGTTTGAAAATCTGGGCTTTGAAGAAGCCACGATTCTGGTTGGGATCGTTGACGGCACCTTTATAGATTTTATTCTCAGAAAATATCCATATATGCTTACCGTTTAATTATTCACTGACACTCTTTTGGACTTTTTCTATGCTCTATGTCTCCGAAATTAATAAATAAATACAGAAATATTTCAATTTTTTTCTGTTTTCTTCAAGCTGAGACATTATAATGTGTTGAACATCTCTTAATGGTGGGAGCTTATTATTTCGTAGAGATTTTTATATTTTGCAAATGTGTTGAGAAAATTTATGTTTCGTTCAAAACTTTATTTTCCACTTCATAATATCTTAACAATATTCAACAATACATTCCTATGTACAGAACAATCTACTTCTAAACTTGTCCACGCGGTAAACCGTCAGGAGGAATTGAAATTATCGGGGAAGTTTAGTAAGGGATTTTTCACGAAATTCCTGCTCGAGTTTCTGGGTGTGTACAGGCTCCTCGGCAGACTCGAGTACGTACTAAGTTCTTCTAATCGTTTAATTCCTTTCTCTAAACTTACCTTCTGAGATTTCTTCTTGTCTCCGGTTGGCGAAGAAGCAAGTTTCGCGTAGTAGTCTGGACCGAATCTGGAAAAGATCGAGATAAATTTTAACAATTGGGAATAGCTACCCCTTTCTTCAAGTAGCACTCCGCCACTTATGTATGTTTTCCTGGAGGAAGGGCAAATATAAAGAATCGAGGTGTAGTTTATAATTGGTTTCAAAATAATCCATTCAATAGGAAGCTAAATGTCTATATTGGCGAAATAATCAGTTCCAAGTGAACGGTTTCGCTGCAAGAGGTACCACGACATTTGAAATGTCTCAATTCCGAATAATGGTGAAAATGTAACGAAAGAAGTTGATGACATTTTGAAATTCAGTTGAGGAGATTGTAGAACCTTCAATCACAACATTCAACGTAGATTGTACGGATTTATCTGATGATAAAACACCATAATCTTTGCTTATACCTAATATCTTCTTACATGAGTGTACCTATTTGTTATTGTGTAAATATTTTAAACGAAAATGTTATATGAACATTGTCATCTGGGTCAGATGACACGCCGAACGAAATTATCTTACAGGGACAACTTTAACTACCCATAACTTTCAACATAGCGACTGGGCGCCATCTGGAAAAAAATTAAATGGAAATGGGGGTTCTTTTGACACATCACTTTGAAGCGACTGACGAATACTTCACAACCCCAGAATATGAAGTCAATATCTTCACCTACTACAAAATGGCGGAACATTTAATAATTTCCTGAAGACAAACACATTAATATTGATATTTTAGAAATATTCTTTTCTATGTGCCATATGACAATTCCAACAACCCGATAAGGTTTGTTAAGTTATTTTTTGTTTATGAAAACGTCAAAAAATGTCAGTACGACAATGAACATCATTGTTCAGTTAGAATATCCTCATTTAGTTTTCGGTTTTACTAAAAAAAAGATACCACGTCAACAATCTCCAAAATGGTCAATTCTCGTCCATTGGAAGAAAAAATTGAAGCGATTTTTTTCCGGAAGAACAGCAAGTGCAAATAATTGGTGTAATGGTAGTAAATCCTGCACAGTCTACTCATTCCGCCGCGAAAGTTTGTGTGGTGTCTCCTTCTACTGAGTGGAGGCTTTTCATACAAAATTAAAATGGTACACCAATTAACTGAAGATAACCCTGATCGAAGAATAGAATTCTGCGAAGTCATGACGAAAACCATTGCAAGGCATTTACCTATCTTCACAATTTTTGTTTTAGTGACGAATGTACATTTTTTAAACCGCAATGTTCACAGACAAAATTGCCTTTATTGGAGTGACACCAACCCTCATGTTTTCCGGGAAACACATACCCAATATCCAGAAGAATTTAACGTTTGGTCAGGAATATTGGGAAACCATATGATCAAAACAGGGGGACTGTATTTGTATATGCTGAAAACTACTGTTGACCCTCTCATCACTGAAATCGTCGAAGCGAATCCTAATAAATTTGATATGGATATTGTATTCCAACAAAATGGAGCACCACCACATTGCGCCAGACAAGTAAGAAACTATTTGGATACTACTTTTTCCGGTCGTTAGATTGGCCGTCGAGGTCCTACAGAATGGCCATCCCGCTCGCCAGATTTGACACCTGTGGACTTTTTTATGGGGCTATTTGAAGCAAAAGATGTACGAAACTGAACCTACTTCAATATGGGATGTACGGCAGAGAATAATAAATATTTGTAGATATATTGACGTTACTGTGTTCGAAAATGTTCGGCGTGACATATCGGATAGGCTGTTCATAAGTCAAGAAGACAACCATTTCGAGCATCTTCTGAACTGACCTCAAACTTATTACCTCATATTATGTAGTTAAATGTTGATGTATTCTGGTAATTATTAAAAGTTCCGCCATTCTTTCCATTTAATTTTTTTCCCCAGATGGCGCCCAGTCGCCATCTTGAAAGTTTCATCTGTCAATTTCACTTCAAAATAAAGTATTCATGCGTTGATTTCATTATCCCAAATTTCAATTTTTTGAGCTGACCCGTTCAAAAAATAAAAGGAGGAGCATTAAAGAAATGCACATACCATATACAATACCATATGTATAAAACATCCCACATGAAAATAATGATTGGACTGTATATTTTGATGATCCTTTCTCAGTTTTATTCTATTACTATTTTTGTATATGTATGCAAAAACGAATAGGCCACAACAAGACACAAATACAAAAATGGTACTCACAGTTTTTGAACTTTTGATCAAATTTTCCCTGTTGAATTGATTTGAATAACTCACAGCTGGAGATATTCACTAGACAACTTTTCCAGGAGAACTATATTTTTTATACTGATCGAATTATCAGATTCGAATCAGTTCATTTGTAACAATGATACATGATTTATAAGATAGGTGAGCTGCTAATTACATAAGATATATAATCGTATTTCTTTTTTTATCAGGTATTCCGATGTTGATGTCACCAATGTCAAAAACACTCAAGTTTTAATATTTTTAGGAACAAACAGATCTTTTTTCATATTATCAGTAGAGAAGTGTTCTCGATGGGAATTTGTTTATATTTCAAATTTGAAAAAAGGAATTCATACTTTAAATAACAGTAATGTAATAATATAATCCAAGATGAAATCAAGAACATGATACGGCTAATTGGCGGAATATTCCCAGCAGATATAACCGCCCCCTTTGCTTGTTTTTGTTTATCATCAATTTATTTCCAGTGAGATGGTGTTTTTCACGAACAAACGGATGGGCAGTTCATTAAGTCCGGCGGTGGCAAACTTTCTCATGGAATATTTCGAACAAGGGGCCACGAAACCATCTTTGACTGCGTTATGTTGATGACACGTTCGTTGTATGGCAAGATGGTGAAGAGATACTAAACGATTTTCTATTATATCTAACGTCTATCCAAATCCAAGATAGAGTAAAACAAAACAAAACCGAAGAGTAATGTTCACGTGATCGCCCAGTGTCAGATGGAAAGGGCAGCGTTCATTGGTGAATTCGCCTTCTTGGTACGAGTTCGGTACCAGCACAGGGTTGTAATCAGTCGTTTGCGTGTTTGTGTGGCGTGCGTTATAGTATATTGTTTAAAATTGTTTTCCAAGATGTCCAGTACAGACACTGCTGATGACACTGTGAGCTA